ATGGGCAAAACATGAAACTAAACTCAAGATTATGGTGGTGTATAATTTCTTTCATAAGAAATTTCTAGCAATATATATATATATATATAACAAATATACATTGTATATTTATCAAAGGATCTCACAGTCTCCAAGTCCAAAGCAATGTACATGTATCTACTGTACAATCATTTTAACAGTAGATTGATTTTGGATTATCTGAAGACATGTTTAATTTTAAAGAATCTTACTTCAATTAATTCCAAATAAAATTTTGAACAATTAAACATTTAAAAATATGAAAGTAAATTTAATGTTTGTTTTGAAAAGTCCATTGACCATAGAAATTTTTCACTTAGATCCATATAGACCCTATAGTACATACATGAAAGTCATGCAGTGCAAAATTTCACTGGCTCCTGTTTGTATAGATTTCTGAATAAAAGAAGAAATAACTCCTAAACCCTATTATAAACATGCTTGCTTATCCAGAATTCATAAATCCATCAAGATATTATATTTTTTGACAAATGTTTATGGGTTTTTTATCCAGTAGAGAGTTAATAGAGGAATCAAGGTTCCAGCAGGGGTGTGTGAATTACCAATAGTCTTTGTGAGTCGAGGAAATAGCTAGTACTGGCTCAACCTGCAATTTGAAACTAATGACCATAAAATGTTATCATGAATATTAATCTGCAAAAATTGGCTTTCTTACATAAGCTTTCTTATGGATAAGTTTTGTTTGCCAATCTTCATCCAACTTAATTCAATTCAAGAGGAGTGCCTTTTATGGAAGATATAAAATTTCCCGTAAATAAGAACAATATTTTTGAAAGTTGACAAGAAGACCCAGGGAGATCTCTTTAAGTAAAATGAAAAACTTTGTTCCCCCTCTTTGAATTTGATTTCCCTGCAGTGAGAAAATGTTCAATTTAGTATGGCCATAAATTATGAGCCTGACTTTTTATTAAAGGGAGATAATCTACGAATCGTGTGCAGGGGTTAAATCTAAGACACAAAGACCCGTTACAGAACACGATTGACTCATAATTTTAATCCATTATAAGAGTAAACAAGTTTACAAAGACTGATTTGCTGGGTATGTTGGCGTTATAACGACAGTGTTTGTTCTCTGGTCAAACGATCCCCGATTCCACCTAGCCCTCCCGCAGGCATTGAACTTTTTCACTCCCATCAATGTCACGGCTAAAAACAAGATTTTAAGGGCCCATACAGGTAATATACCTGTAATCAGAAAAATATCCCCCTTCTCGTGCCGAGTGTAATGGCATTTCCATTGAGAATTGACAAAATTGTCTATGAGGAGACTGAAAGATGATACCGCTTGAAATTAAATCTCGATTGAAAGATGATTGAACTGTTTATCTTATTGATTAATGGGGCATACATCTGATTTATAAGCTCTTATTGACTGGATTTTGGATGTTTGAAGAGGGCCTTTGATAGAAGATGGTATGTCCTTTATATGATGAGAGATTAAAATCAGACACTTCACTTTTTTTTTTACATAAGCATCTTTCTTCAAGTTAATATTCTTATGAGAGGAGGGGAGAAATGTAATATTAACTTGGAAAATGGCTGCAATACCTAATGCATAGTCAGTTTTTCACTTTTTTCCATCTTTGGTACTGATTTTGATAATTTTTACAGTCTGCTCCAAAAGATATATTTAGTTCCATTCAGCATTCAATTAAATGAAGAGATAGGCTTTTTAGTCACTTTTACTAGTGCACAGATCTGGAAAACATTGATACATTTGGTTTTAAATGATTTTTCATGTAAAATTAATTAACCTTGTGTTTGACATTTTAATGATGATGCCTTGTGTTTGCAGTGAATGTCAATACAGAATAATTATTCTGTTTCTTCACCCTCTTTGTCCACTTTTAATATTCATGAACAATTTCATTTTATATGTCCATTTTAGGTTTTCTCTGGAGGCAGTTGGAATCTTATTGGAAAACCATTCCAGTCTCTTTTGGGTCCCATGAATGTTGTCCAGGCCATATCTGTTGACCACTGACTGAGTTATAAACGTCCTGATGGTTTTATTGGCAACAAAGTATCTTAGTGTTATTGGCTTGTGATGTCTATGACAGATATTATGACCAATTGTTGTCAAATTTGGCAGCAATATAACCCTGTCGGCTTTTGTCTCGCTCGTACTTAATAGTGAAAATAAAGTCCTTTTTGTGAGAGTAGGAGAGAATTCTGACTCCAGACTAATGCTTTTTCTTTCTCTTACATGTTGTCATATTTCATTTTTACTCTATCAGTGACTTTATTCAAATGATTATGGTTTTGTGTTACCCATTTTGTCACCTTTTTACATAGCCATGCAAAGACATTCATTTTAATGCTATTTCTTTTTTTCTCCCTCAAGGACGTTGCATTGGTAAATGTAATTTTTCAACCAAAAAATGCAATTTGAAGTGTGTACGTTCTCAAGTGAGAGGGTAACAGTATTTGGAAGAATAATTTCAGGTGGCTAACCTAGGGGTCAATCCAATATCTTGTCATACAAAAACCACCGAAACTTTTTTAGCATCTGAAGATTGCTGAAAGATTGGGAAATTGATAGATTTTTGGAGCGGTTGTTTACATTGCCTAAAGTATAGATTATGTCACTCAGGCCAAACTAAAATAACATCTTCAATCTGATGGAAAAATTTACCTAAATGTAAATCCTTAATTCTGCTTGAGAAATAAAAAATGAAAATACTTTTTCTAGCTGCCACCATGGAGTATGTTTTGGTTTCTTTTGAAAGAAAAACAGCCAAGTCTTGCATCGATGAAAGGGTATAATAATCTGTATAGGTAACTTAACAGAAAAATAACCCGAAGATTCACCTTAAATACTAAAGCCGAAATAGATAGAAAAGAAAATGGGAAGGCCACACCTAGGAACATCATGTGGATTTTATTTCTCGGTCAGGAGAATAGAGAAAGCTTGATTAACTTCCAATGGATTGGCTGATTGAGAAATTTCACACTTTTCTGAACTCATCAATGTGTGATAGATTTACCTGAAAATTGGATCAGAAAATCCAGTGCATTACAGCAAGTAAAATTTTCAATACCATCTTTTTTCTTGATGAAAGTAAGATACTATTTAAGTTTTTTTTTATAATGATTATTATATAGATCAGAGAATCTTCATTCAAAAATCAATTTTTATTAGTGATGAGATTGACCTTAATTCTATAGTAATTTGTGTATTACACCAATACAGGACAATTTGTTGTCCTATCAGTATAGAATTTATATTCCCCACCCAACTCAATTCACCCAGAAACTGGCAGTGATTGATATTATGCAAGTGGATCTATAAAATTCCGGAAATGATGACATTTGCCAATAGGTTCTTCGAAATCTTCTCGTTAATACCTTCTTGTTAATGTTTACTTTAATTGTCCTTTTGGGCGTTTGGCTAAGATAGAAAATATTGCCCATGTTTATTGAGTGACAAGATTCCCCATATATTCTTGATCCCGCTATACTAGATAATTGTTGCAGAGAATTGAAAAATCGTAGAACGAGGGCACCTGTGATCAATTTCTGTTTTATGGTGTCAATACCATGATGACAACAATAAAAGGAAATGATGTCGCAATGATTGCAGCCTATTAACCAGCTAGGTCAACCTGAAAGTTATTGCTGAAAATAAAATTTGTCTTTGAACAGACAAGAAGTAAATCAATATATAAAGCTACATTTTTTCAACAATTTTTCTAAAGTTTTTGTATGGATCTGCAATATCAAAGGCATGGATATTGCATGATGGATTGGTTTCATCACAAAGTAAAGATAGCTTCTTTTCTTTTTCATTCTGATTTGTCTCGTTGTATACAGGGAACACTTCAGGTATACATGTACATAGCTATTGTATTTTGAAGGGTAGATTTGTAGCTCATTAAAGATCTTTCTGAAGAACTATAGTGTATTGGTACAGGTTATATTGAGTGCTAAAACTGATATGATCAAGATGCTCACTCTTTTAGCACTCTTTCAACATCAAAAATTAAAAAGATTCTTCTTTTCACATTTTGTGTAACAACTCATTAATTGTTTATCAAATTGTTGCTGTATTAGGTACATGAGTAATGCCGCAGGCTTTTTATTAAGTCCAGAAGTTCATCTGGCTTTTTTGTCTGAAGAAACGCAATGAACTTGGCCAGCGCAAGATCACTTTACAAAAAACATCTGTCCTTCAGTGTTGATGCTGAAAATTACAAAAAAATCTCAAAGGTTGGAGTGTGTTTAGAATAATTGCTGTAAAATTATACCCCAAAGAACAAATTGTTTAACATGGTTTTTACATGGTCTTTCTTGACTGTCAAACTGTCTTGTGAAACAATCTGTCAAATTCCTGTAACACATTTCGAACAAGATGATTTAGGTTTTTTTTCCCACACTTACTTGATTGGCAGAGATATGATGGAAATGGAATTCTGACATTTGATTGGCTGGTATCAACTTTTTTTTGTTTTTTTTTAAAAGTTGTGTTTAATAACTTGAGTGGTAAAAAATACATGCAATTGAACTTTGGACAGCAAATGCCAAAAGAGTCTGTACTATTGAAATTAAAATTTATTAAAAGATTACACTTTACCGATCGTATCATTTGAGATATAATTTTTGAGTGACATATCAATATTGAAGAATTTACCTCCACCAGAATGGAGCAAAAGCAAAATGCTGATTTTTTTTCTGATAAACCATGATTTCCACTGTTTTAAATGTGGCGCTACATGAAATATGACATGCCATTTTAATTTCTGTACTTGGTAAACCTCCAACCATTTGGTAAACGACATATGCCTCATTGAGTACCTTGAACATTCAAGTTTTAAAACTTAAGAATGATCACTTATTATCATGGATGGGGAGAGGAAAAATATTCAAGAATTTTTTTCAGTGGCTGCATTTATTTGTTGTTGAGCAAATTAAGAGAATCAAAACAAATTGTCTGTGTCTTTTTAGGTTTGTCAAATGCTGAAGACATTTGCCGTCAACTGTAAATGAGTGGAAATAAATCTAACGATCTCTATCTATCACATTAAGCTCTCACAGGCAATTGACCAGTAATTGACAGGTAGGCTAGATTTTCTTCACTGCTCTCTATTCAAATTAATGATGAATTTAAATTTCTGAACCATTTGACTATTTCAGGGATAATTTCAGTCCCTGCACTCATGGTTATATTTTGCTTTTCTGGTGTTAAAGTAATAGGAGATTGCATGCATTATAATCTTGAAGAAATTCGAGAAGAGATGCATATTACATGTGTTTGAATTATTTTGAGTACCATTATTTGAAAAAGTGTGGAAAAAAGTGCTTGGTATATGAAATAAAATTTGATCGGGGATAGATAGCTTTGACAGCTTTTGGACTATTCCATTTTAATAGTACCACTTCCTCTTTAAAAATGTATGCGGTGGATGCAGTTACTAAGTGTTCATATTCAACGTAAGCATGACCTCCATACTTTATATAAGACATATAGATAGGCTTGGATTTTATTTTTTTTAAAAAACATGAACACTTTGGCAATAATGAAAGACTAAATGCTTAATTGACAAAAATTAATGAGCAGTATACCCCTAAAGGTATACTTATATAGATATCATAAACTTTTAATGGGAAATTGGTAAATGGTATAGGTAAATGATGTTGCAAGAGAGATTATTAGAGGTTCTGATTGAGAAAGAAAAATGGATAAAGACTTCTGTAGTTATTGATTAAAAAAACTGAATTCCGTGCACTGGAAATAACATTGATAATTAAAGTAATGAGAGATGGAAATATATGGTAAAAAGGGAAATTTTCTTGTTTCTGCTTAATATTTTTTTCTCTCGGACGACTGATGCACAATGCGTTCACTATTGATTGTATGAGAAGATAAGGAAAATGACTTGAAAAAAGATGGGAAATCTTTAATTAAGTTCCCATTATAGTAGAATTGTCATGATAATTTTAAACAAAAAAAAATTTTGAAATGGACACCTGAAGCATAGATCATTATGGGAATGATTCTGTGTGACAAGTCGCTTTCATTGGGACATGCAAGAAAGGCATTTATAGCTAATGAATTCCTTATATGGACAAATGGTGGACTTGCTTTTCCTGAAAAAAGATGAATGCACCTCTGACTATATGTATTTAGAAATAAAGCATCTTTAGTCTATGGGTGTCTTAATAGATAAAAATTAATATTGATTTCATCCCTATAATGTTGACAATATTAGACCAATATATGTATATATAAGCACTAAAATTTATATATTGCATACTATATTTATAAAAATCAAATTATTAAGAAGCCAGCCCCTCAATCTCTTAATTGTCTTACTACCAGAGAGGATTAAAGACATCATTGAACATCATGATTATTTATGAAGGAGTCAGGTATAATTATGTTTGTCTATTAACCCGATTTCTTGAAGTCCATTTCACTTCTTGGGTGATCCAGTTTATCCCAAATACCTAGGATGCAAAGTTGAGTGCAAGAAAAAAAAGTTTTAGAGAATGGACAAGCAACATGTCAAGGGTGGAGTTTGACTCCCAGCAGTGTATCCATATATCCATAGAATCTAAAAGCCCCGATAATTAAACCCCCTACTTTGCTGGCATAAAATTTTTAGCATTTTTATCGAAAAACTTTGGTTTTCCTAATTATTTAAATGCATGCTTTTTTTCCATAGAGAAAAAAAAATTGTGTCCCAATATTAACAGATATTTTATAAAACAAAGCAAAGCATTTTTTTCCTCTGCATTTTGAAATGGGGAAAATGGAAGTACTACTGTTTCATATCTGCCATATGGTTTTAAGTATGTAATATCAGATGCTGAAAAAATAAGAACTGATTGCACCAACTGAAATGATGAAATGGACTAAAGCAACTTCATCTTATTTTACAGAATTTGGCTTCTTTTAGTGCAACCATGCATGCAAATCATCCAAATATGCAAAATGGTGACAAAAAGATCTCATGTTAATTATGAATAATTTGTGACATGAACAAGACATGGAAAGTGTTGCTGCTAATAATTCAGTACAATGGGTATTTTTGGGTTTTTGCTCAGTGATAAGGTGACAGTCAGTCTACTAAGCTGTGCTTCACATCATTGTGCTCTAGGCATGGAACCCAAGTTTTCCGAATTTCTCAGACGTAATTTGGAGACTCAACTGATGCAAGAAAAATTCTTTTGATATTTGACAATTAACAATTTACTCTCTGAAAGAGGTGGGCTAGTGCTGTTGAGTCTAGTAAAAGAAGGTTGGATGTGTTAAAAAAGCTCTTGTGAGAAAATAGGAAGCAAATCTAAAAGTTGTTAGAAAATTGTGGAAAGGTTTTCACAGTGATGCATTGTGTTTGGGACATGAACTTCGCATTTCTGTATATCACGTCTTATCCATTATCTATACTGTACATAATTCGAGAATTAAATCCTATTTACTTCTGGGAAGATCCTGATAGATTTTTTATTTGACAATAGTAAATGTTGTTTACAGTCTTGGTTGGAAATGTTTTATATTGCAAAAGCTTGATAAAAGTAAAAGATAAATGCGGACTTGGATGTTTTCACTTTTTTTCAGAACCGCTATCTTGCACTGACATTTAGAAATGAAGTTTTTTTGTATTTAAGTTTAGAGTTAATCTTTTTTGGTGGAAAAGAGTTTGCTTGAAGAAATTTTTCTGACCACATGATATAAAATTGATTCGACTCAATTTAGTGATCTCTTTATAAGAATTTACACCCTACTATTAATAGGAGAGGGTCTTTCACATCTGTCGAACAATGAAAACGATAAAACTTGTCAAGTGTTACACATGAGGAAAAAGAAAATAATACGGATACATTTAAGACTGACCAATAGCCTCATCCACCTTAAACACTTTAAACTGAGCCCTTGCTTACAACTTAGATGAGGCGAAAAATTTCTATTAGCTTGATTAAATAGATTTTCTGATTGAACTGTTACTTTGGAAAGTTGTTGTGTTTATGGCTTCAGTTGTTGGCAAGGTTTCGCCTTTTTATGGTAAATTTCGGTCCTTTTGTGAGATTGTGAATTCGTAGAAAGGTGGTGACATCTGACACAAGGTCATGGGAAACTTCTGAAGGCTCATGTATTCATTGCTGCTTGGTGAAGTAGCTTGATATAGTCATGGAGTTGCTACATATATAAACTTTTGTAATTTTCTAATTGCACGTGACAAACTTATTATTTGCATATGGTGTGAATGCACTATGAATACTGGTAAACTAATAAATTGCTGCCACCATATGCATGCAATGAAAGAATGAAATGTACAATTTTGGAAAAAGATATTTTGAACAAAAAAGTTTATATATATAAAGTCTAGATTTATTATTTTGGTTAACAGTTTTTTTTTTCTCCAAAAGATGTCTCACATACTTAATGAATTTCACAGTTATTCATTTTTAAAACAAACACTATATAGATTATGACAATTTAGCATGAGAACTTCAAAGCATCTCAGGGATTTTGGATGTTTTAAACTCGGTGATAGTTGGCCTACTTATTGAGTTTCACACCTATTCACAACATGCATCTTGGGGTCTCATGGTCTCACTTAGGGTGTCTCAACTAAAAAGTACTACTTTCAGTTTGTAGCGATTTGTTTTCTAAGCTTATCAATTAATTATTTTGGATACTATGAATCATAAAACCTTGTCAGCAAAAAGAATGTCAAGCAGCAATTAATTTCTATTATATCTGAAAAACCTTCGGGAAGTGTTGAAATTTATACTTAATTTTCATATTTTTTTATACAGTAAAACTCAGTTATAACAAAGTCACTGGTGCCTATGAAATTACTTCGCTATAACCGTAATTCGTTATATCCGTATAAGAAATTGATTATTTTTTTATTTGGGGATCTAAAATGACTTTGCTTTATCTGTGAAATCGCAATATCCTTGTTCGTACTAAACGAGTTTTACTGTATAGGCATGTTGCAGTCACATGATGAGGTCGTGTAAGGACATTTTCCCATACTCTTAGATGCTCTGACATCTTTACAATGGATAATAATTGTTTATGTTTTATCAGTGGCTTTGATAATTTATCAAAGTTATAATCGAAAAGGAAAAGTTTAAATTTTAAGAGAAGTGATAGGGATGCTGCCTAAATTATTACATGCTCGCATTTACAAACAAATCTGTCTTAGATTTTTATGTTTGGACTGTTATTTTTTGAAAATCCAGGCTTATAATTGTATTTTCTCTGCTGATCATGTTTCAAAAAGCTCGGTCCTGTTGAAGGTATTGTAAAGTTTTTAGGTGTAGATGTATAAAGCAATATTTTAAGTGGTGTAATATAGTCCTTTGGCATGAGCAGCTGATGCATGCAGTTCAAGGATTCAATATTCTTTCTTTTCTGGAGATACCAGTAATTTGTGTAAGAAGATTCCCCAAATACTTCACAGATTATAGCTATGTATGACATTTTCTGTCTACTTGCATGCTGGTGGAGACTAGTTACTTTTCCATAGCACTGGAAATCTTGGGAAATAAAATTATGATCTCTATTTTAATTTTGAAGTTTTATAGACCATCATTGTAGTTCAACCAACAGAGTCTTTTAACCATGATTGGCATGTCTTGGGTTCAAGCCCAGTATGTGACAACCTGAAGTCATTAAAAAATCTATCAGGTTGCATCTGTTCTTTTAGCAAGCACTCAGCACTTCTAAGTGAAAGTTTTGAAGTCTTTAATTTTGCAAGCTGGGGGCATAAAACTACAAACAACAAGTGTTGTGATGTATTCATAGAAAGTCTTGGTTAAAACATTTATTTATTGTTACTTGTACACTGTTCTTTAAGAAAGGCTAACATGTATTTGTTCAAGAAATTTTTTTACTATCTTGAGCTGTTTTTGGAGTTTACTCTGAGATGCTGCTTATAGACAAATCTTGTGGATGCTTAGCAAAAGGTCTTGCACGTGCTGTATGGCAGATGCCCAGACAATTTTGATTTTCACTTACTAAACTTAACAATATTATTTTAAAGCTAATGTCAAGATGAACCTAAGTAATCAATAGTGTAAACATATCTCCATAGCATTAAA